TAAATCTATTACGTACTATCTATTCAACCGGAACAGGAAGTTAATAATATGGTAAACCGTTTAATAGGCCTACTACAAAAAACGATAACACATTTAATTTTATTATTTAATTTTAAACAACTAAAATAAAAAAACGATCCGATTTTGTTTTGTCGCGAATATTTTCGTTTACGAATTCGCAGCGCGCGGCAAATAATAAAAAAATAAATTTAAATTGCATTAAAGTGGCATTCAATTGTTTAATTACGGTAGTCAAGGCTATCCGCGATTATCGTTGCCCCGTAGCGAGTTTTATTGTTTTCATGTTGCCGTTATGGAAGATCCTTATTGTTGGGATTGGCAACGTTGCCCCATTTTATTTTTAAATGAAAATCCTAGAAATTTAGCACACAAACATCATTTACGACTTAACAATGTTTTAATATTGTTTGTGATAAACAGTTTATGTACCTTTTTTGAATGATGATTGGGTTATATCTTGTTTGTCACTTGTTTTGTTTTATCAAAATCGATTTAGTTTAATCTATAGAGATTAAATGTGTAAACATATAACTATAAAACATTTATTATGTTTTTTTTTAATTTCTAATTTGACAGCTTGAACTTAATATTTCATTATATTTTCTTGGTTCTCCATCAAATAAACAAACTCCAAACTCGTACCAAACCAAAAAAACATTTTTTCATCTCATCCTTTATCTTTTGTATTTTTATTTAACCTTTTATATTTGCTCATTGGACTCATTCTGCTTTTGTAGACAGATACCTATAAAACATTCCCACAATTAGCATTTAAGTGATTTATGGACAAGATAAAAATAGTGACGGGTTCGTATTAGCGTGGACAAAAGAAAACCGAAAAAATAAAACAAATTGAATATTTGAAGTGGACGACAATACTTTTAAATAAACCTTTGATATTTAAATCTTTTGAATATTAAAACATTGAAATCTTGAAAAATGAAAAATTCCTAGTTATTTTTACTAAACAACTATTCCACCCCTATCTAACTACCTAGGGCGCAATATCTACCCCAAAAATAGACTCTATTTTCTTTCCCAATTATTCACTTAATTTTCTTGCGTACATTTTTTGGGCAGGTGTTAGTCGGTAGCATGCTTAGAAGGGCCTTCTAGATGACATCTGTCTAGCACATGTACTTAGATGGTCCCTAAACGTTAAAAGTTAGGATACCTATCTATAGATAGAAGTTTTTCTTTTTAAATTTGTAACATGCAAGTAAATTTATTGTTTAATAAAATTCAAATAAAATAAGAACTAAAACAATTGATGTTTTGTTGATTTAATACATACAATAAAATCATATAATTAGTTTGAAATAATAAAAAAAGATCACAAAAGGCTGAAATCTGAAATTAAAAAAAAGGCCGGTATCTCGATCTGAAACTTTTTCGATGCGATTCCACCTTTAATTTAATTGGGTGCAATGCGGTCGCCGAAGACGTCGTTCAGATGTTTTACGATTACGCGTCAGCACGGGCGACTAGATCCCGACCGCGCTCTCAGTGACGTCAGAGCCTACCGAACGCGTCAGCCTGTCGAATGCGCGCTTGCGGAAGGGTAGGAGTAAAGTTCAATTGTTTTATTTTTTATTTTTTTGACGTTGGTAATGTAAATTCTCGTATTATAACGTAATTGATTACCAGGATTTGGCTTTTCCACTTATCTGCGTTATAAATTATTTAGTTTTATCTTTTAATTTACTTAAATAACCAAATATTTTTAAAATTATAACATAACCGCACTTTCCCTTTTTTTAACACTCGTGTCAAAATATGTGGTTATGTCAAATAAAAACATTCACGAGAACAATTTATTTAAATTTCTCCTATATTTGATGATACATTTTCTAGTTATTTGAATTAAATTGATACTATTTTTGTAAATTTTGTTAAACAATATTTTAAAAATATGGCTTAATAAATATTCATTGAATATTAAAACGAAATAAAAAAAAATCACGGGAAAGATCGTTAACATGGGCGTAACATCCGGTGTACGTTAAACGTTTAAAGGGGCAACCTTATCTGACATTTAGGGCCGCCCACCCGTCCAAATAATTTTCATCGCCCACATGCCAACGACGTTTTCTTCGCGTGGAAACCCAATGAAAATTGTTGCCTCCCTGGAGAGGTTAAGGGAGCATTCTGCAATTAGTTAATAGATTATTCTTTTGTATGTGGTTTTAGTTATTATTTCACGATGTTTTGTGAAGGGAATGTCATTTTTTAAACAAATTAAATTTACATGTAAATTTACTTCGTTTTCTGCAACTAATTGACTCATTTATTTAGAGCCAGTTTCCCCCTTAACGTTTTTCCTTGCCTTACCTTCGTGCGCGATGGTGGAAAATTAGAGGAAAATCGATGTTCTAATCGGTGTCTGCTACTAATTAATGGAAACTCGTAACTTGTAAATTAAGCAAGCTTTTGCCGGAAAATTGCCATCTAATTATGGAGCGGATACACCTCTGGATCAGCTGATTTTGACAAGTGGTTGTAGTCGTTCTACCTCATTTTTATTTGTTATACAGGGTGTCCTAACAGGTCTATGGCACTCCGTTTGAACATTTATTAAATATTTTTTTAGTTTAAAACTTTATTGATTTAAAATTTTTAGGTTTACATTTGAAAGGATCAATGCAAGAAGTGCCTTAGTCACAAATAGGTGATTCTGAGATATTGCGGTTTGAAGGCTTATTTTTGATTATATACAATATATATGTATATATTAAGGTGTGCCAAAAAAATCTACTAGGTATTTTTTTTACTTTGTACTCTGAAAAACCGGTTACTAGACACACTGAAAGAAATATATGTTTGTTTTAGCAAATGTATGTGGTTCATATATGGACTACCACATACATTGCTAAAACAAACATATATTATATTTAGTTTTAACATAATATGTTAAAACTAAATATAAAAATGGTTAAGGTAAATATATTTTATGTTTCATATATAGACTACCACATACATTGCTAAAACAAACATATATTTCTTTCAGTGCACCTCTAGAGAATTCTCACCAAACATGAGCTCTTAATTTTGATAACAAGGTTCTCCGCTTTACAATTTTCCATTTTTTCCTCAGTATTAGAAACAAAAATTCATATCTCTTCGACAACTGTTCGTTAAAAAATAACTCTCCTCATATTCTTGTAGGAAATCGAACGCTCTACAAAAAAGGTCTTTTATGATTTGTCGATTACATTAAGCGTTTAAAAGATATCCATCGTCAAACTTCAATGCATACTAATTTTAAAAGTTTTTGATGAATAATTCGAAAAATTTCAATGTAATTTTTGAGTTTATACAAATTCGAGTTTCTATCGTAAAAGTAACTCTTATAGAAGTAAACCTCACCGTTTAAAAGATATCGAAGGTTAAAGTTTAATTATTTTAAGAGAAATTTCTGTTTTGCTTATGAATTTTATAACTCGGTTACAAAAAATTTTTATGAATCGCGCAACTCATAGTTTTGTAGGTAATTAACTGCTCTACAAAAATGGTCTTTTATGATTTGTCGATTACATTAAGCGTTTAAAAGATATTCATCGTCAAACTTCAATGCATACTAATTTTAAAAGTTTTTGATGAATACTTCGAAAAATTTCAATGTAATTTTTGAGTTTATACAAATTCGACTTTCTATCGTAAAAGTAACTCGTATAGAAGTTATAGTTATAGAAGAAGAGCATACCTAGAGAAACTATTTTTCTCGTTTTTTTTAGTCCTACATGTTTGGTTATATTGAAAAAAAAAAGTGCATTATTTCTAACTCAGAGTCAATGATTTATTAAATTTTGAAAAAAATAACGTTTTTGTCATAAATTTTATATGAAAAGTATTAATCTTGAAGAAAAAACATTTCTATTTGTTATTAAAAAGTTTCTTTATTACAATTTGGGTATTGTTTGCGATGTTCTTTGATAACTTGCAATAAATATTGAAATTGCTCTTAATTTTTTGTTAAGCATTGGTTATAATCATCGACTAATGCAACAGCTCGCTCTGCCGAATCATTAACAACTTTCAATTGCTTATGATTTTGAGTTATTATAAAGATAAATTTCATGAAAATATTATTAAAATAAAAAAGTTTCAAGTAAATTTTCGACAGGGAAACTTCTATAAGAGTTACTTTTACGATAGAAACTCAATTTGTATAAATTTTCGTAAAACTCAAAAATTAAATTGAAATTTTTCGAATTATTCATCAAAAACTGTTAAAATGCATTGAAGTTTGACGATGAATATCTTTTAAACGCTTAATTTAATCGACAAATCATAAGAGACCATTTTTGTAGAGCAGTTAATTTCCTACAAAACTATGAGTTGCGCGATTCATAAAATTTTTTTGTAAGCGAGTTATAAAATTCATAAGCAAAACAGAAATTTCTCTTAAAATAATTAAACTTTACCATTCGATATCTTTTAAACGGTGAGGTTTACGAAAAAATTGTAAGAGACCTTTTTTATAGAGCGTTCGATTTCCTACAAGAATTATTTTACTTAAGGATTAATTTGTTAATACTTAAAAAAGTAAAAAATACTATGGATTAAAAATTTATCGACTATCATATCAAATACAAATTTAAACAAATAACTTTTATTTTTGCCCGCCATACAGATCTTTAATTTAAAATCTTTTTTTACTATAATGTTGACATTGTCAAAATTATGATTGACTTTAAATAAGAATTCCAACCTATAAACAACTATCTTGAAACTTCTGTCATGTGTCGTCTGTGATAATAACCTTAGGTGAACAAATAGGTATTTCTTGGGCCTAAAAAATAAGCGTTTTTTTCACATTCAAGTTTTGAACTCATAAACTCGGTATTAGGACGAAATTGCGTATGCAATGCGCACGCTTAAACCCTTTATTAGCACTTGAGGAGTTTTTGTGATGTTCCCAAGTACTTGAACGTAAATTTTGATTTTTTTGGTGATGTTTTCGATCTCTTTTTGTTTTAGTGTGGAGAGAGACCGCCTACGGGAGCGGGAAAGACAGGCTCGTGCGCAAATGTCGCAAGTTCCAGACCTAGACGATCCGGGCTCTGGCCCCCTTTTTGACCAACCGAAAAGAGTAAGTACACTCAATTTTTTTTTTAATATAACAAAAAAAGTAGTTTGTCTTAATAAAGTAAAGATCCCTATTCGTCCAACAATTGCTTTTGTTACGGCAAAAAGATCATTTTTATAAAAATTATTTATCTACAAACGCTGCTTTCAGTAATAGCATTTGCATTAATTATAAAGTAAATTTACGTTATGTTTATAAAAATAACACTCTTCCAGATGCAGAAACGCATTGATAAATATAGTTATTATTACCTATTTGTCCAAAAAAACAGTTCTATAAGTACCGTTCACAAAAACGTTTTGTAGTAATAATGAAACCCTAATAGTATTATTCATAGAAATTTTGTAAATTTTACAAAACATTTAAAATAAAACTTTTTTTATAATGTTAATAAAATTTATGTAAATTTAACAACAAGTTAATTGTTAATTCAATAAACTATTTTCATTGCAACATTTTTAACTTACTTTTGGGTATTGGGTACTTTTTTAAAAATAATTGCAAGACATTATTATTAATTAATTAATTATTTATTATAACAAAAAATTAACTCATATTATATCATGTACAAAATAAAAAAAATATGAACTCACTTTTTAAACAACAAGCCTGCTTCGTTTATAGAACAGAACTTAAATATTTCTTTTAGAAAACGTCGAAATTTTTATTTTTTTAGTGATCTTTTTGATATTTTTATCATGCTAGATTTAACCACACTTCACTCGCACAAGTGAAATCAATAAGATTATAACACAGACTGGATTATAAAGTTATGTTCACCAAGGAGAGCGCTGGCCCTTTCCCCCTCTTTTTAAGGGAAATAACATAAATTTTGTTACCATTGCAAAACAATAGTAAATATTAAAAAAGTCTTTTTATAGCAATAAAATATTTTTGTTATTAACAAAGATTTTTTAACGGAAATAAAATTAATTTGAATTACAACGATAGTAATTTAAAAAAGACAAATATGCCATAGTAAAATGAGCAAATTTTACTATAACAAACTGCGCATTACTTTATGTAATCGCAATAAGAATTTTATTAACAGTAAAAAAAGTTAATTCCGTAAATAAAAATAATCTCATTACTTTGACATTTCGTAGGTTTTTGTCCCAATAAGACACTGAAAATTTAATAAAAAAGGTACCTTAGGTGGTACATTTTTTATAGCCATTACAATTTTAAATTGAAGTTAAATAATATTATTTTATTAATATTAAAATAAAAACAGTTACATCCGAAATATCCATCCTTAATTCTGTATCAAGGATGTTAAGATTTAAAGCAGTAAAACAACACGGGCAAAATAAGTAAAGATTGTAAAAGTTTAAACACGCTACGGAACCGGGCTTCACTAAACATTAAAATCAACCTAGATATCAAATACCCACGTACAAAATCTTCTCTCTACACAACTTAAATTTAAATTTATGTGCTGTGTAATTTGAATTTATACTTTGCATCCGTTTTTCTAACAAGACACAACGTTAATCATACAAAAGTATGGAACAAGTTCATTAAAAAAGTGCCTTTTTCCAAAAAAAAATCCTCCATTCTCATTGGAAAAATTCCAAATACGTCTTATTCTCGTCAAAGCAGAAAGGACCTATGATCCGATTTTTCACCATTCACTTTTTGCCGGTACCCAATGAGGATTTTCTCTGCTCCAGTACCTATAATTTTGACGGTTGACTGTACCATTCAAATAAAAACTTCCATATATCGATACTTGCTATTTGTAGAATAATACAAAATAAAACAGTGAAAGAGTCATCAAATATTTATCAATTAAAGTGGGCCTAGATGGGAACCTTGGGGAGCACCGTAAAACTTTATAGGAAGTTCTAATTCTAAGTGGGGGATGGGGTTAGGAAGAGAAAAAAATATTATTTTACATTTTTCAGAAAATTTCAAGTTTTATCTTGATTTCAAACCCCCAGAACATGCGGGGAATGATTGCGGAACATGCCACGCGAGTTCCCAGACTGCCGTGTATGTGTATTAACATACGTTCGATTGTTCCGGCACCACAGGAAATATATACGAGGTGTGTTCAGAAAATATCGGGAATTTTCGTTTTTTGAAACAAATATTTATTTATTCGTCTACATTAATGTTGTCGCCTTCAAAATAGTCCCCATTGGATATTATGCACATGTGCCAGCTCTTCTTCCAATACTCGAAACACTTGATCTTTGGGATAGCTTTTAGTTCTTTCATGGATGCGCTTTTAATTTCATCTATTCAGCATATGCTTGCAAAACGACGGTCCTTTAAGGTTCTCTTAATTTTTGGGAATAGGAAAAAGTCAGACAGAGGCATGTCTGGCGAATATGGAGTCTGGGACATCATTACAGTATTGTTTTTGGACAAAAAGATTGTTCAAAATTTAACAATTTTAGAACAAATTTTGCAGCCACGCGTTTCATACCCAAAACATTTGAAAAAATTTCATGGGATGAGCCAATCGATATACCAACATCATCAGCGACTTCTCTGATGGTTTATAACCATTTCTTCCACTTCTTCCATGTGTTTATCGGTTGTTAATGTGCTTGTGCGTTCGAGGCGTTCGTCATCTTCAACGTCTTCACGGCCATATTGGAAACTCTTATACCACTTGTAAACTCTTGTTTTACTTATAGCAGACTCACTATAGGCCTTTGTTAACATTTCACAGAATTCATTTCATTTTTTAAGCAAAATTGGATACAAATTCTTTGATCCATTTCTTTTAACGAACGAAAAATCGCCGAGCTCATAAAACACGTCTAACCTTAGCGGCTGCCACAGACAAAGTAAACAATGAAAACAGCTAAAGTTTTTATCATACTTCGGGTGCATGTATACCAACATAATAAAGAAAATTTTATGACAACCGGACCCTCCGAACCTGCGAAATTTAACAATTCACGTTATTTTCTGAACACACCTCGTACACACACACACACACACATCCACACACACACACATAACAGCGCTGAAATTCGGTATAGTAATTCGATCAAATATCGATCGGAATTTTGGATACGTTGTCAAGATTTGCAAAAGTAATAGCATACTTAAACCATAATACTTATATCATTAATATAATCGCCATAACAACCATTTTTGGGATGATAAAACACATTTTTTCAAACAACTGGATCTTTAAAAATTGCTATAGCCCATTCCATTTAAGAATGGAGTAGATGTCGCTGCAAAACAAGACCGGTTTACGCAGGAGAACGCGGTAAATTTAAATATAATGGCAGTTGTCGCTGATAGAATATTATTATGTTACATTAACCATGGAAACATAATTTACTATACTAACTAAGACCTTTAGACAGGAAAAATATACTCTCTTAGTCAAAAATAACTAATTATAAGTCTTATTTGACAAATTGTCATAGCGAAAAAGCAGTCACTAATAATTAGTCAAATTCTACTCAATGAAATAGTTAAATTAGCAGATTTAAATTAAAAAAAAAATTTTGACCCATTTAACTCAGGTCTGTCACTTGTCAAGCTTGTCAAGCTGTTGTCATAACCCATTCGGCCATTAGCTGCTCTTATAAAAATCAATTTTATTTGTCAATAAATAGTGTTCATATATATAATATTTTAAAGTTGAATATATTATTTGTGTTGCTGTTTTGAGCTAAACTTTTTGCATTTTCATTTGTTTTTATGGGTCATTTAACCATGGAGCTTAGGTATATGCATTTAATTCAAATAATACTTTGTTGTTGGCTGCAAACGATTAAAGAAAACTTAACTCTCAGAAATAGTCAAAGATGGTGACTAATCTTAAATTAGTCAAACTTATTAGTAAAAAATGCTGGTACTAATTCAAATAATAGAATTTTGAATATTTCATTTGTAGAGAGTATGTATTGTATTATTTTCAGAAAATAAGACAAAATTAACATTAAATTGAGAAACATAACCTTAATTATTCGACTGCCATCCTTATTTACTTAAAAGTCAGTGGGATTTTTTATGTGGACCAGTACATATTTTAATGTTTTAACAAATTTTTATGATTTTAGATTATAAAAATTCAGTTATTAACAAAAACACCGAGTTTTATTAAAAATTTAAGAAAAATTAAATGGTAAATAAACGGAAAAAATATTTATTTAAATAAATATCTATTGTAAAAATTACCCCACTGAAAAAAGCTTTTTAAAAACTTTAAATGTAAATTTTTTATGAGGTAAGGCTTAAAGAAAATATACATGCAATTAATGAAACTTTTATTAAAAAAACAAAACATTACGTTGACCATTCTCAACTTGGTCATAGAATTTAAATTTTAATACATCAATCGAAGTAGTCATTGGTACTAATACTAGTCTAGTAATTAATTATACACCGGGTGTCTGTCTAAAAATTGTTTCTAAAATTTGTGTATTTCTCGTTTTGTAACAATGGGTATTTTATTTAATAATTTTTGCTGTTTAAATTTTAATTTAAATTGACATTGACCACAATTTATTCGGTGGTGTCCGATGATTTATTTAATGAATAAATTAATATTCCATCAGGCGCATAAATATTTAATATCGACCATTTTTGTATTCGTCCTGAATGAGTTATGTGGTTCGAAACACTTCGTGTAAATATTTTGGTTTTATAAAGGGTTTTATTATACGATCGTATTATTCCTGAACGTTATTCCATTATAGTAATGGCGGCACAGTCGGAAGTAGGGCTCATTCTTCGTTATTTATGGGGTTGTTTTCACGAACAACAAGGGGGTGGTCCAAAGGACCAAGGACGAGAAGCAACATGCTGTGAGACATTGTTGACGAGTCTATAATAAAACACAGTAAAAAGTATTTGATAATTTTAACCAAATATTTACCAGATTTTATGTTAATAAAATACTGATGTATTTCGCATTAAGTCTAATGAATTTTGAAAGAAAAAAATCCAAATTAAAATGTGCGACAAAAAAAAATAGAAGAAACCCGTAATTTTTAAGTTAATTAGTCTTCAAAATCTGTACTCAAGTGAACTGGCTGAATGACCATTGTGCCTCTAACTATTGGAAATGCAAAAAAACTGTCAATCTGTCAACCTTACAGATTGATTAGTGTAATACTAAACAATTTAGTAAAAGTAACGTTATGGTGCTACCGATTTTTGGCAATAATAACGATTTAACCTTTTTTGCCGATTTATCAATCGCACCCGAAGCTGCTTAAGTTATTTTTAAGGATAATTCATTCTATTTATGTTTATTTGTTACTAACTTATTTTGTAGTACCTAGAGACTAATAAAACCGATTTTGTCCATATAAAGTGTTTAATTTTTGTACTTGTAACACCCGAAACAGAACCATGGTAACATGGAAACAAAGTAAAATTTTATAACAAAAAATAGTAAATCGTTATTTACGACAGTGATGTATAAAAACGGTTTTTTTTTTCAGATGGAAAAAAACCTAAAAAAAAAACGTTTTTTTGTTTTTTTTTCAAAATTAAATTTTGAGTAAAATGTATATTAATAATAAAGTGAAATGTAGAATATACATATTACATTTTTCATTATTGAAAATTTTGACCGAGACTAAAAAATCTGAATTCTTAATATTTGGTAGTTTCCACATTAGAAACCAATAGCAATGTAAAACTTCTACACTAATACAAAAAATTAAAGGATAAATTTTTTTTTCGATCTTTGTTAAAAATGGTCGTATTGGAACCGTCAAAAAAGCAATTTGAAGCTTGAAGTTTCTAGTTTTGAGATTTTTAGATGAAAAACGTGCAACGCTCAATCCTAACGAATACCGTAATAAAAAAATTCGATTTTTTTTGTCCTTCTTTTTTGGTCCACGGAATGTTCTGACTTAACCACCAATGAATAAACGTTCTACAAGAATTTGCTATTGTTTTTTTTTGAAGGAAAAAAAAATCCATACTCTACATGAATTTGAAAAATCATAAAAAAGTGCTTTTGGTAGCTTTTTGAAAAATCAAGCGCTGAATCAAAAATATTATATGTAGTTACTTTTTTTAGCACCAAATCAAAACAAGCGCGGCCCTTATTGGTCAATTCGGGGGTGGTGGCGCGTGCATAGCGCGAGACTGTATTTACATTTACTAATTGTCATTTAGTGGCTAATTTTAGTCTATGAACTAAAAAATTAGGCAAATGGGACTAATCTTGAAAACAAACGTAAACTTTGAAAAAAACCAATGAAAAAAAAACAACAAAACGGACCGTTTTTTTCAAGTCGCATCTCTAGGTATATGGTTAGTAAATATTATACTTCTGGAGGCCTGTAATTTAGGAATGTTTCCCTAAGATAATTCGCTGAATTTCAAATAAATGTAACAATGGTCAGGGGGCAGAGGCAGAATTTCCTATATGCCAAACTGTACTAATTTTACAATTTAGATAAAACAACTAAAAACGTAGAGAATAAGGCACTTTAATGTGTGATGGAAGCACCAAATGGATAATAAATCATTTTGAAAAAAAAAATTATTATTAACGAATATGGTGCCAAAAATTACAAATGTAAACTACTCACTTTCCAACACTACGCTTAACGAAATTCATTGAAACTTACTCACAGACTCTATTTTTAACGCTTCGGTTTGTTTTCGAAATTAGTTAATAGTTCACGGAATCCTGTGCCAAATCCCAATTGAAAACAATAGACAACTCGTAGGTATTCAAATCGACCGGCTAATTGGGTTGTATTGGGTATGTATTTTAAACGCGTAGTTAACTAGTTACAAAAAACACACTTTTTTAATTTATTTATAAAAAAAGTGATTTCTTAAATGTAAATATACCCACAATAATACACTCACAGGCAAAATAGTCGATCCACACAAATTTTCGATGAATTTCAATCGCAAATAACTTATTTGATTTCGGATTTAAACAAATATTAAAGAATATTGTAGATACATTAATGGAGAATCGCTCACATTATAATAAACAGGTTTAAACAAAAATATGTTTTTTACCATAAGTTTAAGGCACTCTGTAGAGTGGCAAAACCGTATATTGTTCTAAATTAAGTTTTAATTATCAAGTCACATCTATTTTTAACAGTTTTGTTTTTGATTCACCTTGATATATTTATTTTTGTGGAAAATATGGATTTTTTTTAAAACATTGCAATTTTTAATATTTTTCCTGTATGAAGAACTAAGGTTGCTATGGTCCATCCATAGCCTATGGAGGATGACAGTGACAATTTTGTTGAATCATCCCATACTTGGACATGTCATATACAGCTTTCAAAAGGTATCAAATTGTTTTTTGTAAATTAATGTGTTGATTTTGAGGTGTCTTCTTACTTTTAAAAATGTCTCCGACTGATGTTGCCCTTTGTACTTTACTTCTTGTGACGTTTAAAACACTTGCCACGTAATACTGTGACCGTCCATCCTGGATTAAATTAATGGCTCTGGCAACATCAGTCGGATACATATCCATTTGTTAAAGTAAGAAGACACCTCAAAATTTAAACATTTGCAATAAACAATTTGATAGCTTTTGAAAGCCGTGTATGACATGTCCAAGTATGGGATGATTCAACAAAACTGTCACTGTCATTCTCCTATGGATGGACCATAGCAACCTTAGTTCTTCATACAAAAAAATATTGGAAATTGCAATATTTTTTTAAAAAATCCATATTTTCCACAAAAATAAATATATCGAGGTGAACCAAAAACAAAACTGTTAAGAATAGATGTGACTTGATAAATAAAACTTTATTTAGAACAATATACGGTTTTGCCACTCTACAGAGTGTCTTAAACTTATGTTAAGAAAAATATTTTTGTTTAAACCTGTATATTATAAACGTTCGTCTATTTTTTAGTATTTTTTTAAAATGTGAGCGATTGTCCATTAATTTATCTACAATATTCTTTAATATTCGTTTAAATCCCACATCAAATAAAAAAGTTATTTGCGATTGAAATTCATCGAAAATTTGTGTGGAACGATTATTTTGCCTGTGAGTGTATATTAGGGTGGCCAAAAAAAAAAAGAATATTTTTTTTCTTCTCGTCTCTTGTTGGTTTGTCATGTTTTAAGAGCCCTGTCAAAAGATCAGCACCATTAAAAATTTTTTATGGGTCGCTCAAGATTTTTAAAAATTACCAAAATGGTCAAAAATTGGATTTTTTTTTATTTTAATTTTTTTTGTCGTTCCGATATTATTTTTTAATTTAAAAATAATAATGATTCTGAAAATTTCAAATCGATATTTTAATTTCGAAAGGTCGCTTAAGATTTTTTTAACTTTCAAAGTAGAGTATTTTGAATGTTTTCGAGCGACCTCTGAATATAAATATCGACGAACTTTTAGCGACCTTTAGAAATCAAAATATTGATTTGAAATTTACAGAATTTTTATTATTTTCAACCTTAAAAATAATATCGAGACGAGAAAAAGAATTAAAATAAAACAAAAATTCAATTTTTGACGATTTTGAAATTTTTTAAAAATCTTGAGCGACCCCTACAAAATTTTTAATTGAGCTGATTTTTGAAAGGGCTCTTAAAACATGACAAACCAACATATTTTCACAAGAGACGAGAAGAAAAAAATATTATTTTTTTTGGGCCACCCTAATATACACTCACAGGCAAAATAATCCCTAAATCCCTAAAACTAAACCTTTACTGAATGTTGTTTTTCTTCTTCTTCAGGTAAATCCTTCGGAAACCGACCATGTCACGCAACAGATCCAGCAGAAGCTCGGCGACTTCCAAGTGTTTCGTCCTTTTCTGGATCAAAAGGACCACATCCTTATCGGCGTGGATGGGGTCCCGCCCAGCCCTGGCGGGCCGCTCCAGCCGTCCAGGCACTTGCCCCCCGGCTATCCGCAGCCCCAGGCCAACTTGGCCGCCCCAAGGTAAATACCCAGGTCTAACATTTTTTGCACATAAATCGGTGCCCCAATTAGCGACTTCTTTAACTGAAGAACAAAGAACGTGTATTTAATTTTGCGTCTATACTGGCACGCTGAGAATGTTGCTGGAAGCATTCGGGGATAATTGTATGTCCAAAACTCGAGCATACGGATGTTGAAAAAATTTCAAAAAGGGCCACACAGTGGTTTAAGACATGCCGCGTTTCGGCGTATTCAAAAATACGTCAATAAAATAAAGAAAACCGCGATGAAATTATTAATATTGTTACCTATATCAAAACTATAATTAATATTTTGTTTCTTCAAACTTAGTCAAAATATTAACTAAATTGTATTAAGTGAATATTTAAAACTGCTTTATAAAATTTGTCTGCAATTTAGTTAATATTTTGACTAAGTTTGAAGAGAGAAAATATGAATTGGTATTATTGAGTGAAAAGTCAAAATTGCTTTATACAATTTTTCTGTTAATTTAGTTCATATTTTGACCAAGTTTGAAGAAACAAAATAATAATTTATACAATTTTTCTGTAAATTTAATTAATATTTTGACTAAGTTTGGAAAAACAAAATTATAATTGAAGGGGTTAGAATAGAAAGGGTATAAGTGCAATTTCTTTAATTTAGGAGATAAGTTCGTTTTGTGAAAGATAAGGTTCTGACGTATCGAAATGAAAAGGATTTAAGTAATTTTCATACTTCTAGCAACCTCTATTATCCAGTAGAAAAACATTACTAAACAAAATTCTTCACTTTTTTATGGTAAAATAACTTTAACTTCAAATATCTCCAAACAATGAAAATGTTACTTATACCCTTTTTATTCTAACCCCTTCAATTAGTATTATTGAGTGAATAGTCAAAATTGATTTATACAATTTTTCTGTTAATTTAGTTCATATTTTGACCAAGTTTCAAGAAACAAAATAATAATAATTTATACAGTTTTTCTGTCAATTTAGTTAATTTTTACCAAGTTTGAAGAGTCAAAATATGAATTAGTATTATTAAGTGAATAGCCAAAACTCCTTTATACAATTTTTCTGTTAATTTAGTTAATCTTTTGACTAAGTTTCAAGAAACAAAATAATAATAATTTATACAATTTTTCTGTCAATTTAATTAATATTTTAACTAAGTTTGAAAAAACAAAATTATAATTAGTATTATTGAGTGAATAGTCAAAACTGCTTTATACAATTTTTCTGTCAATTTAGTTAATATTTTTACTAAGGTTCAAGAAACAAAATTATAATTAGTATTATTGAGTGAATAGTCAAAATTGCTTTATACAATTTTTTTTCAAGTTTCAAGAAACAAAATAATAATTTATACAATTTTTTTTTCAATTTAATTAATATTTTGAGTAAGTTTGAAAAAACAAAATATTAATTATTATTATTGGCGAATAGTCAAAACTGCTTTATACAATTTGTCTCTCAATTCAGTTCATATTTTGACCAAGTTTGAAGAAACAAAATAATAACAATTTATACAATTTTTCTGTCAATTTAATTAATATTTTGACCAAGGTCGAATAAACAAAAAATTAATTAGTATTATTAAGTAAATAGACCAAACTGCTTTATAAATACAATTTTTCTGTCAATTTAGTTTATATTTTGACTAAGTTTCAAGAAACAAAATAATAATAATTTATACAATTTTTCTGTCAATTTAATTAATATTTTGACTAAGTTTGAAAAAACAAAATTATAATTATTATTATTGAGTGAATAGTGAAAACTGCTTTATACAATTTTTCTGTTAATTTAGTTAATATTTTGACGAAGTTTAAGAAACATAATAATAATAATTTATTCAACTTTTCTGTCAATTTAATTAATACTTTGAGGGCCGGTTTATCAATGTCCAGTTAAAGTTGCAGTTAGTTATCTGGCAGATAATCTCCATGGATACCATTGTTCTCACAACGATCGATATGGAATTTAACTGTCAGATAGACTAACTGGAACTAAACCAGATATTGATAAACCGGCCCTGACTAAGTTTGAAACAACAAATTTATAATTAGTACACGGATAAAAAGGATTTCTTAGATATAGAATTTTATTTTTCTTAAAAATATTTATTTGAATAAAGTTAATTTGATTTGATTTAAGACGAATGTTTTGTTACAAGAATGTTCTATTTCTTTTAAATAGTAAATATATTTCTTGAAAAAAACTCTTGGTTCAAGAATTTTTCTTCATTGAAGAAACGCATTGCGTTAATTCAAGTAAAATATTTCTTATTTTCTAAAAATTACCCTTTTCTTGGGACAAGAAAATCAGGGCTTGTAAATTTTACTTGAAGAATATTAAAATTTATTGTTCTTGTATTAAGAAAATCTGATCATTTGACTTCGTTTCAAGAATAATTATTAGATAATTTCTTGTATTTACGAGCTGTCCGTTGGGGAGAGAATAAACTTGTTTCATACGTCCTACACCCTCATTTGAAAAGTAACCGTGCTTGTGTTTACTTAAATGTTTAAAAATGAGTGATTATTCGAACGATTACAGTGCCGTAGACATTAGGACATTATTGACTGAATGGAATACTCCAGAACGTAGGGGTTAACAATTTTTTAACTTTTTTTGACACCATGTGTAAATAAATCTTTGTGTCAAAAAAGTTCAAAATTGTTTTTTTTTTCTGCTTCTTAAAAATCCCGAATGTAGCTTAAATATTAACTATACTGAAGAAAATTTCAAATACTTGTTTGAAGAAGTAGGTACTCGTCTTAAATGAAATAAATATTATCTTTAACCAAGAATACATTTTATTAACGCAAGACACAAAATATTTCTATAAAGAAAAGAACGGTTTCATTAAAGAATTCCTTTGATTAATGCGAAGAATAATGTCTTGAATGAAGAATAATTACTACTCCACTAAAACTCAATTATTTTTGTTTTTTTTTTCTCAAGTAATTTTATTTTTTATTCAAGAATATTTATTCTCGACCCAAAATGTGACAATTTTAATAACAAGGGTTTTTATCATTCGTTTAAGACTGCTTATGTTCTTAAAAAGGAGAAACTATATTCTCCGAGGAAAACATGTAACACAAGAATAATTTTTACTGCTGGCAAGAAAATATTGTTTCGAAGAGATAGGAATCATTTAGTATCTTGAATGAAGTTAATTTAACTTGGCTGAAGAAATCCTTTTTTACAGTGTATTATTGAGTGTATAGTCAAAATTCCTTTTTACAATTTTTCTGTCAATTTAGTTCATATTTTGACCAAGTTTGAAGAAACAAAATAATAATACTTTAAAAGTACATCAAGGACAATTTATAATTATTATACTGTTATTCAATTTATAAATCTATTTTTTCTTTATTGTAATGATTACTCTACGTTAACAGCTATTACAAGTTGATTTGTAGTTTCAATTTAATAAATAAATAAATAAATACAATTTTTCTGTCAATTTAATTAATATTTTGAAAAAACAAAATTATAATTAGTATTATTCAGTGAATAGTCAAAATTGCTTTATACAATTTTTTTGCCAATTTAGTTAATATTTTGACCAAGTTTCAAGAAACAAAATAATAATAATTTATACAATTTTTCTGTCAATTTAATTAATATTTTGACTAAGTTTGATAAAACAAAATTATAATTAGTATTATTGAGAGAATAGTCAAAACTGCTTTATACAATTTTTCTGTCAATTTAGTTAATATTTTGACTAAGGTTGAATAAACAAAATATTAATTAGTATTATTAAGTGAATAGACCAAACTGCTTTATAAATACAATTTGTATGTCAATTTAGTTTATATTTTGACCAAGTTTCAAGAAACAAAATAATAATAATTTATGTAATTTTTCTGTTAATTTAATTAATATTTTGACTAAGTTTGAAAAAACAAAATTATAATTAGTATTATTGAGTGAATAGTCAAAACTGCTTTATACAATTTTTCTGTTAATTTAGTTAATATTTTGACCAAGTTTCAAGAAACAAAATAACATAATAAACATAATAATTTATACAATTTTTCTGTCAATTTAATTAATATTTTGACTAAGTTTGAAAAAACAAAATATTAATTAGTATTATTGGGTGAATAGTCAAAACTGCTTTATAAATACAATTTTTCTGTCAATTTAGTTAATATTTTCACCAAGTTTCAAGAAACAAAATAATAATAATTTATACAATTTTTCTGTCAATTTAATTAATATTTTGACTAAGTTTGAAAAAACAAAATTATAATTAGTATCATTGGGTGAATAGTCAAAACTACTTTATACAATTTTTCTGTTAATTTAGTTAATATTTTGACCAAGTATCAAGAAACAGTATAATAATAATTTATACAATTTTTCTGTCAATTTAATTAATATTTTGACTAAGTTTGAAAAAACAAAATATTAATTAGTATTATTGGGTGAATAGTCAAAACTGCTTTATAAATACAATTTTTCTGCCAATTTAGTTAATATTTTGACCAAGTTTGAAGAAACAAAATAATAATAATTTATACAATTTTTCTGCCAATTTAATTAATATTTTGACTAAGTTTGAAACAAAAAAATTATAAGTAGTATTATTGAGTGAATAGTCAAAACTGCTTTATACAATTTTTCCGTCAATTTAGTTCATATTTTGACCAAGGTAATAATAATTTATAGAATTTTTCTGCCAATTTAATTAATATTTTGACTAAGTTTGAAACAAAAAAATTATAATTACTATTATTAAGTGAATAGACAAAACTGCTTTATACAATTTTTCTGTCAATTTAGTTAATATTTTGACCAAGTTTCAAGAAACAAAATAATAATAATTTATACAATTTTTCTGTAAATTTAATTAATATTTTGACTAAGTTTGAAGACCCAAAATATTAATTAGTATTATTAGTGTTGTCACTGAAAAAAAACAGTCTTGTTTTTTTTCAAAAAAAAATGTTTTTTTTAAATAAAAAACAGAGGACCTTGTTTTTTTTCAAAAAAAATGTTTTTTTTCAAAACAATTGTCAAAAATACTCAAATTATATTAAGTGACAGGATTTTCGAAATGTCACTGCTGAGGAAAGAATTTTTGGCACATTCTGTCACTAGAAGAATATTAAATACTAATTATAGTTTCTTATTTACCATTAGTAATATTCTTAAACAAATTGTTTAACGTTGTTGGCTTTCGCCCTGAGCCTTCTCTTTTCGGCATTTCTACCAACTATGCATCAACCTACTATAAAGCCGCAGGTCTTAACTCTTCTGTTATAATACCGTATAGACTATACGATATGCTGAGTCAGCATTGCCGACAGCGAGGCGCCCTTTTACCATACGTGGGTGGGGATGAAAAAAAACAACTTTTGTTTTTTTTCAGTGAAAAAAAACATGTTTTTTTTCACGTGTTTTTTTTACAACACTAAGTATTATTGAGTGAATAGTCAAAACTGCTTTATTCAATTTTTCTGACAATTTAGTTAATATTTTGACTAAGGTTGAATAAACAAAATATTAATTAGTATTATTAATGAATAGACCAAACTGCTTTATAAATACAATTTTTCTGTCAATTTAGTTAATATTTTGACCAAGTTCGAAGAAACAAAATAATAATAATTTATACAATTTTTTCTGTCAATTTAATTAATATTTTGACTAAGTTTGAAAAAATTTAAAAAAATATTAATTGTAGTGATGATGATCGTTTAACGAAAAACGCCTTCTCCAGGTTGCAGCCGTCTCCGGACGGGCGGCCCGAGTTCAAGAAGCCGAACCACAACCTGCAGCCGGGGGGCGGGCACGCGCGCGGCGGCTACCAGAAGCTGGCCGAGAGCAAGCCGCCGTACGCTGGCCGCGGCGACTACCCCGGCCAGCCGGGCGGCGGCATCACCAACCACCGCTCCAAGGGCATCATGCCGGCCAAGGGCCCGCCCCTCTCCTCGCCGACGGCGTCCTCGTCCTCGTCGGCGGCGGGCGGCGCGCCCGCCTCCTCCGCCTCGTCCTCGAGGGCGCACCAGCAGCACCGCCTGGGGCGCGCGCCCCACGAAACGGTAAGCCCAGTTTTGTTTTCGATTAACTTACGCTCCATTGGTCGAAAACTAATGGGGCGAGGCTCGAATTGTAGCTATTTAAATCCTCTACAAAATTTTTTTTTGTGCAATAAATCATTTTGGAAATATACAGTGTGTATTAAAACGAATAGATACACTTAAATAAAACAAGTGCCAAACCCCGCCCACGGTGGTAGGGATTGAATTTGTTTGCTTGCCGTATCATTGTTATCAAATTATTTTCGTTATTTTAGAATTATTTTTGTTTGAGAATTTATAGGTTTTATTTTTATCGAATTCGTTTGTTTTGTTTTAATGCATTTCTGCAAATAAAAACTAAGTATTGTTTAAAATCCATTAAATTCCAGTTAATGGCGAAAATGTATTTCTTAAAAACTATACACATTTCCCTACGGCAGCGTCGGAGCTACTGAACAAACACAGTAGATCAAACTGCATGCCCTTGTATCTGGCTGCGTGCCGCGCTGTTGCCATATGCTATTATTGTTTCCTAAAAGGGTTGTTTTTCTTATTTTTTAATATTAAAAGTAAGAAAATTAACTAAATCAAATTATTTTTGACATATTAATTTTTTTGTTATTTTTTAAGTTTCAAACAAATAAAATTGAACTATTTATTAAATAATTATAATCGTTCTCTTCTGATTTAAAACAACCTGGCAACTATGGTTCGTAATTACAAATGGCTTGGTTTAAACCACGCCCAATTAAAGTTTGTTTCTTTTTCTCTGATCAGAATATAATTTGTCATCCTTGTCTCCAGCCTTACTTACTTGATTCTATACAGTCTACAGCGAACGCCAATATACAGGGTGAGTTTTAAGTTGACGCGTTCCTTTTAACAGCGTGTTATAGCCCTTCAAAGTTTAATTAAATTTTGAGCCGGTCCTGGCTATTGTTAACAAAAAACATAACCATAAAAATAAAAATAACAAAATAAACAATGCAAAATGTCATCTATGACAACAATTAATAATATAGGAAAAATCAATTAATAAATTAAAAAAAATTCACTCCACCCTACTATACCTCTCTTATTTTTGAGTTTTGATAAAAAAGTTACTTAAAATATTTATTTGTCTTTATTCGTCAACTTAAAACTCTCCCTGTATTTGTTAAAATTATCCTTAATTGTTTTTGTATATTGTTGCACAAATTTTACAAAAAAAGTCAAATTAAGAAAATGTCTGAAAAATATCAAATAGTACAGTCAATCTGTATTTTGACATCGGTGAAATACCAAATTCGTGTTTTATCCCGTTTCCTATATTTATTTACATTCAAAACTTTCTTTGTTTAGTTCCTCAAAAAACAAGGGCGCAAAAGTTTAAAAATATATATTTATTTTATATTTTGCTCGATTTTGACCCGCAAATAGTATATTATGTATCAAGTTTTATTTTATTTTATACACGAATTTAATTTAAGCACGAGCGAGCTTGCGAGCGAGTTCTTAAATTAATGAGTGTATAGAAAAGTTTATAAACGAGGTGCATACTATACTTTTTTTACGACAAATACTTATTATTATCTTAAAATGATTTAAATAAAAAATTTGTATAGAGCGCCATCTATGAAACAACAGGGGAAACTGTCAAATGTCACATTTTCACATTTTATAAACACAATTATAAAGGTTATAAATCGAAATGTATATTGAAAATTGACATTTCTATTTTTGTATTGAGATAATAAAATAATTTTCACATTTATTATTATTTTACAAGAAAGGCACTTTATTTTAACGATTGTATGACATTTGACAACTGTCAACTAAATTAAAACTAACTTCAGCCCGTGACTAAAAACTTGTTGCTAACTTCAGCCCGTGACTAAAGCGCCGTAAAGCCACAACTTGTCAATGTGTATTTAAAAGGTCACTTAGTGTCATGGAAACATGTACGATAAAGGGTGTTTTAAAGGTGGGAGTAGAAAATTTTTTTTTTTTATATTTTGACCTTCAAAAATTAATCAAAACCAAAAATGCTCATGTTTTATCTCGTTTTTTATCGGTGCAATGGTACAAAATTGACTGTACTAAATGGCGTATAATATTAACAATATTTCGAACGATATCCACCTGTGTAAGGTTAGCCGATTTTATAACATAATTAATGAAAAAAAATCATAATTGATAACTTTCTCTGGTTAGAAAGTGGAATTGTAAGAAACCAGCACAAAATAAACGTTTTGAACCTACAGCGTAGTGAACATTTTTCTATTCTTCTATTGGTATTGCGGTTTGGCGTATCAACAGCACTTTTCGCCAATGAATTATTTTACAAATATGGTAATTCCTTAATAAACTCGAAGCTCTCCCCATAAGGTAATATGCAAAATTAATATTTGAATTATTATTATGGGGTCAAAGATTTTCTGCATACATATGCTCGCTTTGTTGACGTTAACCAGAATACAAATGTTGGTTCAAACACGTAGGTGCCAAAATTACCGCCCGTTTTCATTTGGCACTTTGTGGAAAACAACAGGAGAATGGAATGGAGCGATGTAGTTGTTGGTTGTGGGATTGTGCAAAGGAAATTACACCGTGCCATTGCAACGGTATCGCTGCCATGCGAAACTGTAAAACAATTTTCATACATATTTAAACACTGGTCACAGTGGTCCACGTTGCAATTCCGAACGTGTCCTTAAATGAAAAAGATTTTATTTCCTAACCTAAAATCAAGTATCTACAGTTGAAACAAGATGATTGATCAAATATTGTCAAGGCTAAAACTAACATTAAACTAAATATTAATCTTTCTTTAAACAAGCGCGACTTTTTCATGCGAGTGTTTAAGTTGCTCACGAGGCCGTCAGGCCGAGTGTGCATTAACACGAGCTTGAAGAAAGTGAAACACAATGTTTTTTCTAATACCTTTAATTTTTATTATTTTCAAATACAAAACAAAATAACCTAAAAACGTGTTTGACAGCTGTTAAAATTACTTTAATCTTATTCTTTTAATTTTTAAGTTATAAGTTACTTAAAATCAATAAACTTACCTTCTCAATTTAAATAAAGGCACTAACATTGTTATTATACAAACACAATTAATTGTGTTCTAAATGATATTTGGACAAACATATACAAATACAATACAATATTTAAAACGAATGTCAAACGATGCTGTCAATTTCTTTTCACACTGAAATGTCACTTTACATTCGTGTTTTGCCTTGCCATTGAAAAGATTCATTTTCTAAGCAACGATTCCATTACGAAATGTGACTTTTACATAGTGGTCGTAGAAAAGAATCATTGCAGTATATATTATAGTTATATTATAGTTAGTTTTTGCATTAGGAAGATAAGGAAGATAATATCTGCTTCAAACATACATGGAGTCCACTTTTAAGACCAGTCGAAGTAAGCCAAACACTCTTCAAATCTGAACGGTTCAGACTAAACCAGATTTTTTTTGCGATTTTGAGTATTGCAAATTGGATCACAGTGCGCCTCACCTTATTGCTTCCAGTAGCTTAGTTTTTAAAGTTGGTAAAGTTTGACTTCCACATTCACTATACTGTATCTCATGAAGGTTTAAGTATAGGGAGGTTAAAGACATTGCCATGTGAAAAAGTTAGTTTTTTAACAAATGTTCGAGTCTCATACTATTTACTTGATAATCCACAATTTGTTTATTAGCTATGATACAGTAGTTATAAGAAAATAGGTAATTTTGGAACTATAAACTAGCCTAATGGAGATTGTAACAGAAAACATAGCTTGGACTCAATGAGCAAGATATTGCCCGTAACTCTGTCATGTCCGAAGTTATTTAAGCAGATTTATACAGATAGAGAGACCGCAGAAAAAAACAAAAACCAAATTGCTAAAAGATGCTTCGGCAGTCGAGTCGCCTTCCTTTAAATTTATGTTACGTTGACACGCACCGTTCTATTCTCTCTTGGCTACCATCTTTCTTTTTGCACAGTGGACCGTTCTTCTTGAAAATATTTTGTTGTTTTGGTTCGGGTGTTGTTAAAATGGCGAATTTCTGACCGTGTGTCCCGCTATACTTCCGGATCTGACACTTTCGGATCATCATTTCCTTGCCTTCTCGAACGTCTATCGGATCATCATTTCCTTGCCTTCTCGAACGTCTAACTTTTGCATTTGTCCCTTAAATAATCGCGACATAACCATCGATTTTGATTGTGGTAAGCGCTTTAGTTTTATGCTTTACTTAGGTCTCGTTTTACGACTACCTCCATCCCTTTCCCCACTGAATCGATATACCCTTACAAAAACCAATTAATATAAACGAGATGTCGTCATATAAATCTGGGTTATGTAACGAAACTAAATTATGGGATTCTAGAAGTAAGCCAGTCAGAGGTCAAGATTTATTTTTATTGACATCGTAATAAATTTAAATATATGTTTAGATATGGTGTTAAATTTAAAAAGTAACATCCTAAGATGGTGTTTGCATTTTGGAGACTCTCTTGACTGATTTGTTAAAAGTAAGCTTCAAAATTGGCAATGTTAAATCTTTTTTTGTTTACTACATAACGACCACGCTTATAAATAAAACTCGTTATTTGTTTATAAATTACGATCAAAAAAATAATCCATCAAAAGTTCGTAATTTCATTGGTAAACAACATGAGACGGCGTTGAAGTAAAGTAAATAGATAAAAATTCGCCACTAAAGTTTATGTGTAACTTTTCGTCGCAACAAAGGGAAAAACACACGTTTTATTATTTTTATGTTTGTGTTGTGGCGCGTCTGTTTTTAAACGCAATAAAATTTTTACGCCCCATCAGATTTTCCCAGTTATTGGCATTTTAAGTGGCAAAAAAGTAAACGGAAATACCAAACACCCTGTATAACAATTTGTAGTACTATTAATGGCCCCTGATAGAATACTTATTTGTTAACGTGTATACACGAATTTGATTTTTTCTAAATTTTGTGGTCTGTATATTTAAATACTTGGAAATATTAGGAGAAAGAACGCTTAAAAACTATAACATTTCCACTTTTAATAATTAATATCTCCGAAACTTTCAGCCCAAAAGGTATTAATGTACTATGCTCCACACCTCAAAGTCCCACCACGTGACCACGTACGGAACGCAGTCTTTTGAAAATTTGGCTTTTAAGGCTTTTCAGGTTATGTATCTGTCTAAGTATAGTCAATGAAAGAAATAATATTTATATTGTTACCGCTTATGTTTAAGCGTTAAAAGTTAATAAATCTTTATAGTATCACAACAACAATGGTTGGTTTAAGAATTTAGGAATATAAATACTGCATTTAATGAAATTCCAAAGTGTAAGGTGCAATATAAGTGATATTTTTGTGCATTGGGTCTACATTTCTCCATAAAATAGTTTTAACTAACAGCATTTATTAAAATAAATCTAACTTCTCTATTATGAAATAAGAATATCTGTATCAAAGGTAGGTTAATATATTAAAACAAAAAATATCATCTAATTTTGTGTTTTAAGGTTAGAAAAATCTATTTTGACCAAAATAAATAAGTGGATTATTTGGAAGAGTGTGTTAATATGGTCATAAATAAATATAGGTATACTAAATAATTGTTGAATATCGATCAAAAAAAAATTGAAGCTTTTATACTTCTAATGACAAAACTTGTGCATACCTCTCGGCATACCTACTTTAAGTTAGATTATAAGAAAACATACAATTTTTAGAGAAACTTGCAATGTAAAAATATTTAATACTCCCATGACATGTGATTTATTAAAATTTTTAAAGTTATAATTTCTTCAACTATTTGTATTGACAAAACTTTATTTAGGTACACTTTAAGCTGGATAAGAAAAACTACCACATTTTTAAATACCATATTATACAGTCTTTTAAATAATCCAAAATACTTATTTATTTTGTTCAAAATAAATTTTTCTAACCTTAAAATTACAAAATTAGATGATATTTTTGTTATATTATATTAACCTTCCTTTAAAACAGATATTCTTATTCCATAATAGAGAAGCTAGATTTTTTTTAATAAATGCTGTTTAGTTAAAATTATTTTATGGAGAAAACCAGATATTTGGACCAAATGGACAAAAATATTACTTATTTGGCACCATACACTTTAGAATTTCATTAAATGCAGTATTTATATTCTTCAATTCTTAAACCATCCATTGTTATTGTAATGTTATAAAGACTTACCTATACATTTTTAACACCTAAACAAAATTATTTCTTTCATTGACTATACTTTGACAGATACATAGTACATATTGCTGAAATCACAATTCCATAATCTATTCTAATCTCCAAAAAAAATTTGTCCGGCCCTGATCAGAGAGTTGTGGATTATTAATTACGAAGCGGCAATTCGAAGGTTGAAATTGCGAAATAATTAGTGTCGCGCTACAAACAGGAACAATTAACATTTATTTTGCACGTTTATCATTTATAATAGGGATAATTGTGTGCGTGTAAGTACATAAAAATAATTGCCGATTTTTAACTTTTTTAGACTCCATTTGCACTATAAAATTGGAACAAGTTGTGATAACACACTGCAAAAACAAAATTGTGTCGTAATTTCTTTCGAAAAACAACCCAATATTTTACCTGGCTTAAAACTTTGTAATCTCTGCGTAATAAGTTTTTACAAGTAAAACTGTGTGGAGAATATTTCAACTAGTTCAATTACAGATTAAATGTGCTGAATTATGTAGACACCGTCACAACTTGGCGGCCTGATAACTGTAATCTACTTGACTATTAAATACTCACCATTAACTTATTATTATTTATACGAATAGATTTAATTAATAATAATTTTAATAAAGTTTATTTTAAAGAGAGTTAGTAGTATATATTTTTTAATTTTTAGAACAATCAACCAGCTCCGATGCCTGCGCCCAGGGAAGCCTTGCCATTTCAAACGCCCAGTGGCGGAGACGTTGACAACATATTTAAGGTAAGTTTTTTTTTCAAATTAATCATTATAACTACAAATTTAATGTTGCTTACAGGAAATGATAAGGGTTCCAGCACCATTGGGTGGGATCGCTGCTACTCCAAGAATTGATTTGGACAACAAATATCGACAAAATTTTAATAATTTAGGGGTAAGTTTTTTAAACTAATTATTATTAATATTAGGTACCATGATTGAAGCAGTTTTTAACTTAACATTTACTATATATTTTTAAATAAAAAATTTTAAAAAAATGACCCTGAAATCTAAAATTATTACCTATTTACATAATGAATAATTATAATACCCTACTTATATTTTATAATAATTATTGTAACGCAATTAATTTTAGACGAATTTTTCTTTTGTATACAAGGTGTTATGTAATTAAACTAATACGTTGAAGTTGCCAGTTGTACAAAATTGTTAAGGCCGTATTACAGCCGGCAATTCTTTTGGCAATTGCAACGAAAATTGCCGTAGGCATGCGCGGTAGAGACATTTCGACGAATCTCTTGCAATTGCCGAAAATCGGTCCGGATGGGTTTTTATTGCCGTTTCACGGCAATTCTGGGGTGAAATCTTGTAACTTTTATGTTACCAACCCTACTACAAATTCCCTAGAGAGACGCTGTTTGACTTAAACAGTTTAAGGATATTTGTTTTATGATTTGCATTGTGTTCAAAGTTCTAGTATCCATTTGACTCATTAATTTTTAAATATCCCTACTAAATAACAAATAAACTTGGTGTTTACAAAATCGTATATTTTTCTTCGGTTGGTAGCACGGTAATAAACAGCAAGTTGTCTTGCCATTGCTGACTGTAAAACAACATGCAATACGGCCTTGAAAACTTGATGGCAAGAAAAATTGCTGCAAGAACAATTGCCGGCTGTAATACGGCCTTTACTAAAAATTTTTCTTGCACAAAATAAATAAAAACTCAATAAATACAAAAGTTTTATGCCCTTAAAGCTCTAATACCTTCTGTATTTATTTACTCGTCCAGCTATTAGCTTAAGCAATGATTAGAAACTTTAGTATCTACTTTAAAAACTACATAACCACAAAATTCATTTTTTCATCGGTTTTTTTCTTTCTGTTTGCCCAGATGAAATTAAATTAGGACAAGCTCACAGGTTAAACTATAAACATTCAATTTGTGTAAATAAATCCAGATATTTACATTTTGAGCACATAACCTAAAATTTGAAAGAAATGCATTAGATTCTGTCATAAAAGTTGCCAGATTTTGTTTGAATTTACCTTCATTACAAAAATGACAATAAACAATTAATAAAAACGCCAAATTAACAATTTGCATTGTTGATCCTAGTCGATCAGTGGCGTACTTTTTGGTGGGAAAAAGGTTATTATAATTTATTTTTAGTTTTTAGAATTCAGACAAAACATATTAACATATTACATTAATTACATAACACCCTGTATTTATTTATGTCGCAATATTTTGGTTCGTTGTTTTTTAATAAAATTACTTTATCTTATGTTTCAAAACCGGACAAGTTCAGATTTTTTTGTTGCAAATGTTGCCAAAGATTAAAATCTCAGAAATTAATACTTTTTATATTTTTTATTGATACTTTAATATCCACATCACAATTTTTAGTTTTTCTCAATATTAGACGGTTCAAAATATAAAAAAAACTGTTGTTAACTTTTGAGCCATCTACATATGTACTATGTTCCACACCTCAAAGTCCCACCACGTGACTAAGTACGGAACACAGTCTTTTGAAAATTTGGCATTTAAGGCTTTTCAGGTTATGTATCTGTCAAAGTATAGTCAACGAAAGAAATAATATTATGTTTAGGCGTTAAAAATGTATAAATCTTTATAACATTACAATAACAGTGGTTGGTTTAAGAATTTAGGAATATAAATACTGCATTTAATGAAATTTTAAAGTGTATGGTGCCAAATAAGTAATATTTTTGTGCATTTGGTCCAAATATCTGGTTTTCTCCATAAAATAATTTTAACTAAATAGCATTTATTAAAAAAATCTAGCTTCTCTATTATGGAATAAGTATATCTGTATTAAAGGTAGGTTAATATATTATTACAAAAATTTCATCTAATTTTGTAATTTTAAGGTTAGAAAAATTTATTTTTACCAAAATAAATAAGTTTTTGGATTATTTGAAAGACTGGATAATATGGTATCTAAAAATGTTGTAGTTTTTCTAATCCAGCTTAAAGTGTACCTACATAAAGTTTTGTCAATACAAATTTTTATCTACATCGAAAAATCATTATAACTTTAAAATTTTAATAAATCACATGTCATGGGAGTATTAAACATTTTCACATTGCAAGTTTCTCTAAAAATTGTTTGTTTTTTTTATAATCTAAACTTAAAGTAGGTATGCCGAGAGGTATGCACACGTTTTGTCGTTAGAAGTATAAAAGCTTCAATTTAATTTGAACCATATTCAACAATTATTTAGTATACCTATATTTATTTATGACCATATTAACACACTCTTCCAAATAATCCAATTTTTTATTTTGGTCAAAATAGATTTTTCTAACCTTAAAATACAAAATTAGATGATATTTTTTGTTCTAATACATTAACCTACCTTTGATACAGATATTCTTATTCCATAATAGAGAAGTTATAACTATATATCTATAGATTATTATCTATAATAAATGCGGTTTAGTTCAAACTATTTTATGGAGAAACGTAGACCCAATGCACAAAAATATCACTAATTTGGCACCATGCATACACTTTAGAATTTCTTTAAATGCAGTATTTATATTCCTAAGAAAGTTTTGCGTTTAAACAAATATGTTAAAAATTTCACGCTACTCATTTTTTGTTACGACCTATAGAAAACAAGATAAACGACTCAGTTTGTTTGGTATTGGTATTATTTATTCCACTTGGAATGTTTTTTAGATTTTACTTTTCTATTTCAGATTAACGAAGCTACCCCAGTGTATGCACCATCCACCAAAAGTAAGTACATTTATTATTATTATTATTATTTTGGTCAAAACTGTACTAACAATGTTCAGACCAATTAAAAATGTCTATTGATTAAACGTTGCATATTTTAATTTTATGTCGGCCATTTCAATGGTAATCTTCACTCGAGTAATAAATACCGGCGCTTGTTATTAAATTCTTTAGCAGGTGGTTAAAATACTAAAAAAAAACTTGTTTTGAGTTTTTTTAAAGCTAAATAAAACACCTTTTTAATAATACGGATTACTTAGTTACGAAACCGTATTTAAAACATAAATTTATGAATCATAAGGGCAAAGCATTACACCCAGGGCTTTATATTATTCCTTTAACATTTAATCTCAAACTTTGAGTCTAGACACACTAACTTTTATTAACTCCCAATTGATATTTAAATAATTAATTGCAATGGTTTTAATATGTCATGCTTGTTTATTTAACGGAAAAAAATAAGCATTTCTCAGATGAGTTATAATATATATTATATATGTAAACATTGAAAACGTTTTTGATCGCTATCTTGCATGGACGGTTAGTTTTTATTTAGTTTAAGTGCGATTCAACAACCATGTTACTAAACGAGCAAGGCTAGGATTTAATCTCTATTTTTAAATGTGCTGGACTAATTTTTTTTATTGTAGTACAGCGCGCAGAATTGTGCTTAAGCTTGTCTTAAATACGGTGCAAAAGTTTTTTTCCCAAGAATACTTTATTTTAGAAAAAACATTTTTTTTCAGATTCAGAGCAATGTTGTCAGATGTAAAATATTTACGCTGTTTAGGGATTAGGCATTAAAATAATTAAAATATCAAAATAAAATTAAAATAAAGTTTCCAGAAAACCGTGGCAAAAAAACATGTTTTCATGTTTACAGTACCCACCTAATATTTTATGGAAATTGGCGTATTATCAGGCTAATAAGCAGCTCTGCACGAGTCCATTTTAATTAATAATTAGCTCGGGCCAGCTTGCGCCTCTATAACATTTATTTTTACAATAATGAGTGACCTGGCCGCGGGTGAAAAAAGCCGTTTTTTTACTGTCGTCAAGTGTGCTGTGCACTTTGAGCCCAATTTTTAAGACCGCCAAATCAAATTTTGTGCCTAAGAGTATCACGTCTTTAAGTTCATATATCTCCTAAAATATTAATTTTAAGGATTCGACCTATATAACGTTTTCTGTAGAAAAATAAATTTACTACAAAAAGTTTTATTTACTTTTTTCTCCGAAGTCAACCGTTTACAAGTTGACAGCAAAATACGTCATGGGGAATTTGACTTCCATTAACATTTAGAAGAAAATTTTCAATGGGGTATAAAAAAAATAATTTGCGTTCGCGCATACACGTACACGCACGTATGGGTTAGTATGCGTGCGCGGGGACGGTTGTTAAGTTGGTACGCGTGCCAACGTTGTCCGTCAACATAATCATAGTTGGCCACGATTAATGCGCACGCTTCTCGATTTGTTTTTTTTTTGTTTCCGATTCTAGAGTTGTGCCATCAGGGCGTCGCACAGTGGGGAGAATTAAAAACTTTATTTATCAATTTTCTCAGCTACATTTTTTGACAAGAACTTTCAGATTCAAAGCAATGTTGCCAGATGTTAATCAGGGAAATTTGATATGCCACTCACTATACAATAAAAATTGGAATTTTAAGGTGTGCTTAATAAGTAAAAGTATTTTTTTAAGTTTAAAAAATTATTATCAGTTTAAAGTAGTAATAAATTTTCCGAGAATTATCCTCGACCCTTGTATATTTACGATCACCGTTTACCTGAGCATACTAGTGCATTTTATTACACCCTTATTAAGTTAGGGGTAAGGGGTTTAGGTACCCTAATAATTATTTATTAATAAAGTTCCCAAACTCGAAATACTTGTACTAGAACTTTTCGAACATTGTAGAAAGATATACAAAACAGCTGGGTATTTTATAGATGGTAAAATTATTATCTAGACATTTTATTACATCTTAGATAGTTCTTTTTAGTTAAGATATCTAATATCCTTTAATTTAAAAATAGTTTTTATTACAATTATAATTGTATACATTTTAAAAAAAATAAATATGGGTGATTCTACAAAAGTTGGACAACTTGATGTCATCAGTCAATAGAGTAGGTATTTTAATATTTTTGTAAATATTTTAGTATATTACAAAAGATCCAGGTTTTTTAACTTGTCCACCCAATTTTAATGTATTTTTTCAAAAGTACGTTAGTAGAAAAACATAATAAATATTCAAAACATTAGTACCTTGGCGTGTCACAACTCCTGAATCAAATATTTGAGTGATTTTATATTATAAATATATTCAATTTGTCTTAAATTTTTCAATTTTACTACAAACTATAAAACATTAGATAATGTATTCTTCATATTTTATCATAGATTCGAATAATAGCAATTTTTTAAAAATTGATAATCTTTGTACTCGTTTTTACCCGTCAGTTCTGTGTGCAATGTTAAAATTCAAAAGTCCTGCGAAATATTGAAGTTTAAACTCAAGTGTTGGTAAAAAATTACCTACAGAGCCCTTTGCACGACAGTCATCTTGAAAACAATGCAAGCGACGAAGTTGTGGTGAATGCACGTATAGTTCCAGTCAAAATTTCAGTACTGTTGGGAGTAGATATTTTCTTACGTATATATATTTCATTGTAATTTTAAGAAGGCTATATGTGATTTGTTGATAAGTAGCATCCACTAATAAAAAATATCAGTACAATAATTAATTCCGAATTATAATCTCAAATTTGTATCCCATTCATCAGTACCGTGTCGTCAGTTCCATGTTCTATGTTTCGGTTATCTTTTTTTCGCAAACTTCAATTTAAATTCTGCTTGCGCAGAACTTGTTTATTTAATGTCATTATAGACTCATATAAATTTGGTGTGGGTCCCATATCTAATAATTGAGATATCGGTATACCCAAAATCCACCAGCCGCCACTGAAGTGTGGTATTATTTGATTTTAAGATATTTAATGTATAATATGCTCAAAGTTGCAATAAATCTTATATTTTCCAATGAATTATGTATTTAATTAGTACCCTGGTATACTCGTCACTTCCCTTGCATTCAAATTTAGAAAACACAGATATTTCAGAAACTGTTTGAAAAAGTGACTGGCCCGGTCTGGAACAGTATATTTATTATATTATCTATGTTCTCATAACAAAATACTGTTTAATTTTCTCCGAAAACTATATAAACAAAATGAGGTCAAAAGTTGCCTCACTTTTCTAGAATCACCCATATATTTAAAGTTAAGATTTAAACTATTAAACTATTTAGGTATTATAATATATGCCATAACTTGTGACACTAACTTTTTTCAAAATTCCCAGAAATAACGAAGTTATAACAATTTTTTGTTTTGACAGGCTTTTAGTTTTTCTCAAATTGTTTGAAAACCGTATGGCCCGCCGTTTTAACATTTATACAATAATTTTTTTAATTTGTAAATTTAAAATATTTTCAACCATCATTTATTGAAAGAAGAAATTTACTAACTAAAAATATTATTTCCAATCAATTTTTGGAAAATTTTCTTTTTTCTAGAAAAAAAAACAAATAAAGTTGTATTCAGTCTTCGTTTTAAATTACAAACTTTTTTTATTATTTTTTTAATTGAAAATATAGCTGGTTCTTTCGAAAAATCAAAAACAAAAAATATGACGGTTGCCAAAACGATCTTTAAAACCTTAGACAACAACAAAAAAATGTGCCTAAAAAGGCCACTGTGCGACAACTACTTAACGCAAAAAAAACCGCGCGTTGTCCTGTTAGTGGCCAAGGGCTCACCGACGTAAAATCGACTGCCATCGGCGACGCACTATGGTCAAAAAGCAGCGTTTTGCGGACAAAATTCAATAACTTTTTTAATACAAATAAATATTAATTTTTTCTTTTTTTAATGTGTTTAATAGAAGGTATTACGTATACTTAACTATATTTTAATTTTTTAAATGCCTTTTAGATGGTCCTAGAGCATCAATTGGGGAATCAAAAAACATTTTTATTGCAGAGAAATATTTATTTTTTATTTTTTACTGTGTTAAATAAGACTTGGGTATAATTAACTATATTTTAATAAGAAAAATAAAGGTCTTTATTTTTTAAACTTCTTCAAGTGTGAATTGATTCTCATCCAAATTTGGAAATCTTCCCTTTAAATTTTCAGAAAATAGAGTTACGCCTTTGTCACTATTTAAAAATAGTTCTGTTAAAAACTAAGAAAAAACGCAGAAAGTACTCATTTTGAAAAATCACAAAATGTTAAATTTGCTTTTGCTATATAAAATATTATTACCTTATAAATGAGCGAATAATGTTTTACCTAATAGTTTTTACCTTTAAGGATGCAAAATTTATAAAATATTTTTCCTTTAAGATACCATTATAGCAAAAGATTATCGATTAATTAATACATAATTTTTTTTTATGAATAGGTAATTAATTATTAGTCCTATAGGATAAGTATACTTTGTACATATTTTTTAATACTATTAAAAAAATTTAATACATGTTAAAATATTTATAATAATCAATAAATTCAACTAAAACTTATGAGCATAGATCTGTGGGTACGAAAATCTTGAGTGCGTAGACAATGCCTTAGTTAGATGCGATAAATAAAAAATCATAACTTTTCCCAATATGTGCGTATATGCAGCTAATTTTTGGTGTACTTATAAAGTAAAGTTTACTGAACAACCTCATGTAAATATCAACGTGAAAATCTGAGGTAATCGTGGTACATATGTGTACCAAAGTGAGATAAAGGGTTAAATGCCTGTACGCATTTTTGTTTCTCTTAATTTTACCAATGTGTCTTTAAACTTTTGATTTTTATATTTTTATTCAAATAGTAATTTTTGTAAATGTAGATTTAAAAAAATATATACATTTTTTGTTCGATTAAAAGATATAGTTTATTAAATGTGTGCGTAATTTTTAGCCAATTTTTCCGTTTTAAAAACA